ATATCTTAATTATTTTTGTAAGTACAAAAAAAAATTTACACATGTCACTGGCTGTTTGTGAATAACTAAAAAAAATAGATGAAATCGAAATATAGCCTGATTGCATATTTTAAAAACCATACCGTAATAAATTAGGTAAATTTGAGGCACAACCAGATAGAGTGTCCAGACTTATACAATTTCAGGGATTTTTCATTGAACAATGAAAAATATCTGAAACCGAACACTCTACAATGAGAACACAAAACCATATCGATATAGCAATAGCATGCTATTCCTGGGAAAGATTTTAAACCAGCCCAATACAAAGACGAAAATCATGAGTAAAATCACGAACAAACAGGATAAGTGTTCCACAAGGCATGTATATACGAATAAATCCAACTATGAAATATGCTAACCAATAAAATGCACATATTTGCGTAGAGACACTCCATTCCTGGTATGTATGGTATAAATGTTTTACTTCCAAATCAAATACCTTATTGGTCAGCGTGATCATAGTTGTCACATCTTGTATATTCTTCACCCACTATTAAGATCATGACCCATCTTCTTAAAGCCACAAATTGCACTGCTGAAACGAACACTCATTATTGAAATCTCTGCTAAGTTACGAATATGCACTACAAAATCTCAAATCCACCCGTTGTTAAAATCTTTATCATTACTCGAATCACTAAATTATTGTTTAAATTACAAATTTACACATTAATATTAAAGGCACTCACAGATCTACTGTTGAAATAATAACTCACTCGATGTTCAAATCACTAACCTACTTATTGTTTAAATTACAAATTTACACATTAATATTAAAGGCACTAACTGATCTACTGTTGAAATAGTAAACTCACTCGATGTTCAAATCACTAACCCACTTTTAAAATCACCAACGGCTCATGGTTAAAATCATTATTCTAACCAGTGTTATCACTTGGAAGATTACTGAAGGCAACTGGAAGTAAATCAATAGTGTCCCTGGAACTATAAGTTTCAGTGATATTATTGATTTACTTCCAGTGCCCTTCTAATGATCTTCCAAATGACAACACTGATTCTACTCACTATTGAAATTATTAATCATCCATCGTTGCAAATCACTAACTTACCTATCCACTTTTGAAATTATGAACGCATCCATCATTGAAATCACAAAATATAGAAAACAGACAAGTAAATCTTAACAATGTTAAAACATTAGTATAGATATGTTTGTTATTCATAAAAAAAATGCTCATTGACTAAGCTATGTACATACTTAAGATTTTTGTAAGATTCGTCAACAATCTATACTATAACTATGACTAAGGCTATACAAAGTTGATTTTCTGGTTCTCATAACATAAAATAAAAAAAATGACCCGACAAGCCGCATAAAAATTTTATATATAAAAAATTTTTTACATAATTAAAATTTTTTTAAATTTTTATTTTTTTTTTTGTATATTGACAAAAAATTTAATTATATATAAAAAAAAAATTTAAAAATTTAAATTTTTATTTTTTTTTTTGTATATTGACAAAAAATTTAATTATATATAAAAAAAAAATTTAAAAATTTAATTTTTAGAGAAAGTGACCCGCCCGGTTATGAGAACCAATTATATGAGTTTGCATAGCCTAATTTTAAATTGACTGAAAATTTTCTTTTTTGTTATTTATATATATATTGTAATTCAACATATTTATTAAAGCTGGCTTTAGCGCAACTATGCCACGCAGCTACCTAATATTAATACTAATTAATTATGTAAATAATATTTTGACAAATATAATATAGCTAAAGTGAATAAGGTAGGCTGTTAATCAAACCGATCTAGATCAACGGTCCTTCGGTTCATTCAAGAATTGAGCCAATATAATTTTCTTTAGAATGGCTCTAAGAACTATCTGTCCTATATTGTATATATTTAAATAATATATAGATTGATATGTTAATGAATATATTTTGCTAAATTAAAAACTTATATTGATCAATCAAATTCGAATAAAATTAAAGATATAGTAAAATACTATTAATGTAAAAAAAGTTTTTATACTTAAAGATTAATAACATTAAATGAAAACATAGTAAAATACTATTGATAGTAAAAGTTATGCATTTGGATAATAAAAATTTTAATCGTATAACATTATCTAACTTTATTTTTCATTTATGTTAATTTATTCAATAGCAAATATAAATAATTTATTTAAATTCACTATAAATAGAATATGAATACAACAAAACTAAATAAAAAGATGGGTTCGAATAGTTTAAATACATCTGAAATAAAAAATATATAATCATGAGTTTGATTAGTTTATTCAAATATGCTGAAATCTTAGAGACTGGACTCGAATCAACTTGTGGCTTAAAAAGCATAGTCTTGCTATCGAGGTAATTCGAGTTAAGGCTGTGTTTTTTAAGCCACGAGTTGATTCGAGTCCAGTCTCTATACACACTAAATAAATCAAACTAAATAAGAAGTGTATTTAAAATCTAAATATACTACATAAATTTTTTAATGTGCAAGTTGTTTTATTATTAATTATGTCAGGGATAATGCTGAAATCGAATGATACTGAAATCGGTCGATGCTTAAATTTTGACTTATCGTTATTTTAATATGAAATTTTAAATTTTGGGCGTTTTTTTGGATCCGTGTCAATTCACCAACAATCAATTCACCGACAACCTATTTCACTGAAAATCAATTCACCGACAAGTTATTTCACCCACGACTATTTTACCGACAAGTTTTTTTAAAAAATTGCACTGACCTTAACTCTAATTCTAATTTGACCCCAACGAAAATGACCAGAATTACTATGTCAGTGAAGTGATTGACGGCGAAATGAGATTACCTGGTTTTTTCAACCTTTTGTTTAGAGTTGGGTTAGAGTTTAGGGTTTAGTGTCAGTGTTTATAATAAAAGAGTATAGGTAGATTTTAGTAGGATTTATATTTTTGAATCGAGACCACAAAATTTCAGCATCAGCATCATCTCCGACAATTGTTATCCAAGGTTACTTATTAAAAAATTCTTCCGACAACGTAATAGCAACTAATCGGAGTACTGTGGAATTATTTAATGTCGCGGATCATAATGAAATCGGATTAAAATGAAACTAAAATCCACTTATACTTGTTTAATATAAATTCTATCCTTAAAAATTAATCTTAACCCTAAAAAAATGCTAAAAAATGCACCTCAAAAAGTTGTATTTTTCGGTGGCTTGTCTATTCGACATTATCACTCATTTCGTTTTTTAATCCGTCACATTTAATACGTAGTTATTTATATTTTTATTGAATATATTTAATATTTCTAGCCAATGGCATGCCATTTTTTAGCCATGCTTAATATTTCTAACCAATGGTATGCCATTTTTTAACCACGCTTAATATTTCTAACCAATGGTATGCCATTTTTTAACCATGCTTAATATTTCTAGCCAATTGCATGCCATTTTTTAACCATGCTTAACATTGCTAGCCAATGGTATACCATTTTTTAACCATGTTTAATATTTCTAGCCAATGGTATACTATTTTTTAACCATGCTTAATATTTCTAGCAAATGGCATGCCATTTTTTAGCCATGCTAGTCTCCCTATTTGGATTTGGTAGATTTCGTCGACAACTAATTCGCCGACACCTATTTCACTGACGGCCATTTCACCGACAGCCGACAATCCATTACTGACTATAAAGAGGGCCAACCCTAATCCAAAATCGGGCTAAAATTCTCGATGAAATGAACTGTCGTGGAAGTGAAGTTTGGAAATAGGCTGTCGGTGAAATGCGTTGTCAGAGAAGTGAGCTGTCGGTAAAATAACCATCAGTGAAATAGATGTCGGCGAAATTGGGATGAGCCACCCTATTCGGCACATTTTTAGAATTTGATCTCTTTTTCCCAATTATTTTTAAAAATTAGACCCTTGTTTAAAATTTTGGATCATATTTATATCTATAAAGCCCGATAAGTAACCCAAGTCGATTAAAAAAGCAGATATAGATGAGGGTCTTAAATAAAGTCAAATTCCAAATTGTCTACAATTTAGCGGATTCTTGGAATTGGATCTTTATTCCAAACCCTAATTATTTTTAGAAAAGGCGATTTCCATTTGAACACTATAAACTATTCTCCTAACTCCATTCCTTACTCTTACCGTAGATAGACTTTACGTATTTAAATTGTTTTGATTTGTGTTACATGGACTTGCAAATTAATACCCGTGTACCATACACTATCGCTATGTGTATATTTAGAAATTCTCTTTAGAAAATTGACCATTACTTGAAAATTCTGATTCACAGGTTATATGTAATAATCGGGATACGCCTCACTTTACCGACACTCATTTCGTAGACGTACCATTTCGTCGACACTTATCTCACAGACAAGCTCATTTCACCTACAGTTTATTTCACCGACACTTAATTCGCCGACAAGTTTTTTTCATAAATTCTGCCAACTTTAACTTTATTTCTAATCTGACCCTAACGGCAATGACCAGAATTATTTGTCGGTGAAATAAGCTGTCGGTGAAATGAACTTGTCGGTGAAATATTAAGTCTATTAAATGATCGTCTTAAATTTCTTATACACTGCATCATGTTACTGTAAAAGTCTAATGTAACGGTAGAGCAATTGTACGACTTACAATCGCTATATTAAATCGGTCACTAAATCCGAAGAGCACAAAGATTTGAATGCAGTGCAGACTGTTACTTAGTGATCAACATTTAAAGTTGGATAGTAAAATTATGTGTTGAAAATTTTTATTAGCATAACAAATAGTAAATTTTAAATTACATACTTACGATTTCCTGTTTCTCAATATTTTCAATTGTCGGTCGGTTACATTTGATCTTGTGATTTTATTGGCTACAATTACACAAGAAGAAATGATTGACAAGTTAAATAAAATGCGCATGTTATGTAACCAGGTAACTTATTGATTTTTAAAACTTTATAAAAGAAGCATCTTAATTCGCATATTTATTAGGATGAGTTCGAATGAAATAAATAAAGGTTTGAAATTTCCAATTCATAGCTGTTGTGCATTAAATTAGAGTGGATTTTGGTCAGATTGAAATTTGAGATGTTAAGATTGCAAATTTGCGTTGAATTAAAATTGATAATTTATATAAGTAAAGCTAAAGGAATCCAAAATAAAACTCAGATACTTCGGGTTTTTTAAGAATTGATTCAAAGTTATAAGTAGAGATTGGGAAAACGAAAACATTTTCTATGCGCATGGTATCGCACTATTGAAAAAAAGAAATGAAGAAGATCCATTAAAATAGCAAAAGAAATTACTTTAATGCTTTTACATGATAAATTCTGTACGATAATATGATGTATTAAAGTTTAATTTTGGTTCTTTTATAATTTTTTTGCACCAAATCTTGATGGGATATCATGCGCACTAATTCGTATGTATGAATTGCATTAACTCACCTCTAGTTATAAGTTGGATTCAAATTTTCAGCATTTGTTGAAATGACAATTATTTGCATTTATACAATGTCCACATAAGAATAATAGTAATCTATTTATATACATTCAATTTAGTGCTCCGCAAAATCAAAATCAAAGTTTGAGTTTCAAATCAAATATTTGATCAAGTCACATTTGATCAAATATATGATTTGAAACTCAAGTTTGATTTGATTTTGCGGAGCATTAGTTCAATTTAGCGCATAAACTCTGAATTAATATCATTCCGTTTCAAAATCCACGCTTCTCGAATTTGGTGCACGATATTATTATTGAAATCACAATATTCATATATATTAAAAGTGGCAATCCTTGAAGTTGTGAATGAAAGTCTTTACCGTATATTGTATGTTTATAGAGACAATCAATATTTAAAATTACTAAATGAAAAGGTCGTTGCACTGGAAAAAAATTTTTAATCTAAATTCTAAACCTTAAATTTTAATTATAATTTTTTTTTAAAAAAAATTAATTTAAGACTTGTTGGTTATAAGGAATTTTCAATTTATACATAACCAATTTTCTTTTAAACTACAATTTAAAGACTGGGTGCTTTTTTTTACAAAACTAGAATACTATAATCCTAAGTATTGGCAATTGATAATCATTTTTAAAAATATAAATATTGTGATTTCGGCATTTAAAAATAATTATAAGTATAATAATTTCAGTATCGAAATCTTCAGAATATTTAGATCAATTAAAAACTTTTCTGAAAGAATATCAAATAGAAAATTTTGATTATACACAATTCATTGATGTTCAGCCAGTTTATAGATCACTTTCATTATCACTATACTCGGCTATTCTTGATGAGCAAAAATATGCATTAAAAAGTTTGAGAAATGATTGGTTCTTTGATCGTGAAGAATTTAGTCAGTTCAAACGTGAGGTAATAATTCTTCTCAATTAAGTTATTTCTTATATTAAAAACTAATAAATATTAATGTGCTTAGCTTAGACTACTTAGCACAACTCAACATCGGAATATCGTTAAATTTTACGGAGTTACAATAGGTATGATAAATATTAATACTTTTGAATCAAGATTATATTAAGTTTATGCAAAGTAATTATAATATATACCTAGATCTAAAAGGCAATTTGATGTTAATACTACAATTTGCTAACGGCGGAAACTTAAGAGATCATTTAAAAGCAAAACATTACGAAGGACGCTATAAAATATTTTGGAATGAACTAATTGCAATAGCGAAAGATATTACCTATGGATTGAGTTATTTACATGATAATGGCATAATACATCGGAATCTAGTAAGCTTATCATAATTTCTATATGCACTCAAGTTTATTACAATTAAGTCATTATGATAACTTTTCTTCAGCATTCTCGTAATATTCTAATAAATGATGGTAAAGCATTAATTACGGATTTTGGATTGTCCAAACGATTAAATGATTCTGCTACTACAATAAGCTCCAGTATTAAAGGCATGCCGGCTTATGTTGATCCACAATGCTTTATGAATGAAACATATAAACCAAATAAAAAATCTGACATTTACAGCCTGGGTGTATTATTTTGGGAACTTACAAGTGGTGTTCCACCGTTTAATGATCTTCATATGACGAGAATAATTTTGGAAATTTCGATAGGTAGTAGAGAAAAAATCATTGAGGGCACTCCCACAGACTATGCTAGTCTCTATGAAAAATGTTGGTCTATTGAGCCAGCTAATCGTCCACCGTTGGATGAAATTTTAAATGATCTAGAGAAATTATCTTCAAAACATATAGCATTCATTATAAATAATATTACTAAATCTTTCGATTCAGAAGGTGTAGCCACAAGTTCTCCTCATTCCTTATTTAATGCAAATTTAAATTTGAATGAACATGAGAACAATCAAATGGCTGCAACTGAAGGAGCTGATGACAATTCTTTAATAAGGCAGCCTATTATGAATTCTGGTGTTAAGATTTATGACTATAAGGAGTTCACAAGCATTAAGAAAATTGGAGAAGGTGGATATGGACAAGTCGAAAGGGCACATTGGGAAAGCGCAAATATTACTGTTGCTCTTAAAAGTTTAAAGGTTAAAGTGAACTCAAATAACGATATGATTGAGGAATTGGTCAGAGAGGTAGAGAAAATGTTTTATTTTTATATAGTTCAAAGCTTTTACTCAATTATTGCTTCAATCTTAAAATCATCTTAGAAAATTTCTCCGGTAGCTTTGTAGTTATCAATGATAACTAATAACTAAAAGCTTTAAGATTGAAACAAAATTGTTAATCATAAATAAGGTGTATTAACAGAGTTCACTCGAATTACATTGCAAGCGCTGGCCAAAATAATAAAATAAGTTATATTAATTAGCACTGAATATGTTAAGTTTCTACTTTTTATTGTCAGTAGCACTCAGCCGCTAAGAATAAGCAGTAGACATTTGATGCATTCGGTATTCAATTAATTTCAATTAGGATGGATTCATTGTGTGGCAAAATTACCCAATCTTTGAGATTGTTTAATTTTCATGTAACATTTATCAGTTTTATAGATCGTTAATAGACAATTTAGAGCTTTAAGATGGAATCTTAGTCTTGAAATGACCTTGTGAGATTAGTGTTAGTCACCTTATAAGTTCAGTAATTTGAACTGGAATTGGACATACACGTTCCATTTGGAATTTATAAATTCAATGTTTTAGCCTAAAAGTTCAGTGGAATAAGGTTGTCAATTGCCCAACATTGTATGAGACATAGTGATTACCAGGGTTGGCAATTTCGTGCTCCATTAGGAAGTTTCATTTGATCCAATCCATTGCTCCATTGGAAATTTTTAATATTAAATCTTACTATTTTTTTTATAAATATATTTAGATTTTAAACTTAATTAGTCATTTTTTTTAAATAATCACAGATTATTTAAAACAAAAAAGTTTTATATATAAAGAAAGGTGCTTAATTGTTCTATTCTGCACCACAATTGCTCCATTGCCAATACTGGTGATTATTATTGCTAATAAGGTCATTTCAAGGTAAAACTCCCAAATAATTTATTAGGTTTTATAAATTCCTATCAATTTTAAGATAATGGTTTAGATGTTCTTATCAATTTTTATTTTATTCGTATTTATTTTGACCAGCAAATTTTGGACTCATGTTTATTTATGGTTATGACTTGCGAAATATAAGCCATCACACCTAATTATGTGCGTTACTGAATTTTTTAATTTTTTTTATAAGTTCAAGAATCGCTAATCCATCGGTTTGCTTTAAATTAAAACCTAATTCTCAATTTTATTATTCTTATCTTAAAAATTAAAAATTTACGAATTCAATTATAATTTATCATACTTTTCAAATTACAATTTTCATGTATCACACCGGGAATCAGCTGGAAAAATGCCAGTATATGTTGGTTAAACGTTATTTTATCGATTTTTTTTAGCTAATCTCATATTGGCAATTTTTAGAATCCTAATTCCTGGTGTGATACACGAAATTTGCTGATAACAGTAATTTAAAAGCACGATAAATTAGATCAATATAAAAAATAGCACCATACTTTTTATATTTGCAAGTAACATTTTACCATTATTATAAATAGGCTCAATTGTTAGCAAAAATTTCAGAAGAACCTCATCCTAATATCAACCAATTTTACGGAATAACTGAAGATCGTGATAGACAGTGTTATTATTTAGTATTGCAATATACAAGTGACGGCAATTTGCGTGAATATTTGAAAAAACACTTTACTAGTCTTACCTGGAATAAAAAGTTAAAAATTGCGTTAGACATCGCAAATGGACTACGCCATTTGCATGAAACCAAAAATATAATTCATAGAGATCTTGTAAGAATCATGATTTACCACAATAATGAATTTCATTAATAAAATTCAAACCAATTAAATTTTTTTTTCTTTAGCACTCCAAGAATGTTTTGGTTAATGGTGAAACAATGTTAATAGCTGATTTTGGATTATCAATCTTGGCGGACGAAGAATTTTTGAAAAGTTCTAGAGGTAAAGGAATACCTGCGTATACAGATCCACAATATCTTAGAGATTATAGTTACAAATATGATAAAAAGTCAGATATTTATAGTATGGGTGTTATCCTCTGGGAAATTTCAAGCGGGCATCCACCCTTTCAACACCTTGAAGAATCAGAAATAGTCTACCAGATCTTTCAAGGTGCAAGGGAAAAACCAGTAGATGGTACACCAGAGCAATATCAAAACCTATACACACGTTGTTGGGACGATGTACCTGAAAACCGCCCGGATATCCAAGAAATAGTTCAAATTATTGAATCTGTATTAGAAACTTATCAAGACGATACAGTCAAACTAGAGCTTAGTAGTGATCTGTCGTTATTGGAAACTCACCAAAATGATATGACTCCACCTAAAATTAATAGCGGTGTGGTTTATTATATTAAAAAACTTTTTGGAAAAAATTTTTACTAATCCCAGATTAAATTTTGTATCCAAAATACGATTGCTAATATCAATTCTATAAAAAAAAAAAAAAACAGTTTAAAATAACCATTTTTTAGTTAACATACCATATATATGCTTCTTTAATTCTAAGTTTATAAAATTTATTATTACTATAAGGATCAACGAGTCATCAAGCACTTTACAGTAGTTCAGCTGAATCTAATAATTACTTATTGATTGGCAGCTCCCTTAATATGTAGGTGGAGATAAATATTGTAAGGTTCTTAAAAAAATCCAAGTGGCGAATTTTATATAATTACGAAATCATTCACTATAAAACGCTCCTGTTTTTATTATGTTTTTAAATTTTTTAATTTTTTATAAGTTTATATATAAATTTTTACAACTTTTTTATGTAGCATTTAGGATTATAATTAGGGCTAGTGATTGAAATGGTTTTGTAGGCATATCTAGATTTCCTTGCATTGATTAATTGAGATAAGATATGCATAGCGGTGACAGAACTTCTAATGCATATTATCAGAAAAAAAGCAACCAAATTGCTGCAAATAAAAATAGGGCCTTTGCATTGGAAAGGGTGGATACTGCAGTATATATAATTTTGAGAAAATCGGCAGTTATATCGAGTAATTCGTGATGTATAAAACCTCTAAAAAAATTTTTTTAAATATCTTGATTTTTTATTATGCAAATCAATTTCTATCTATAATCGAAAAATATAGCTCGTGTCAAAATTTATCTGAATTTAGTAAAACCTTGATTTTCATTTTGGTTAGTATTCACCATTTCTACTGCAAAGGCCCAAATGACTTTTTTTAGGCCAAAGTGAAAGCCTTGCTTTTATTCTGGTTGCTTTTAAGCGAAAAGTTTATTGGGGAGGAAATTAATTGCAATTATTTGGCCTCAATTAATTGATTTGTGGCGCAGCCACTAACTGTCAATTAATTGCAATTTTTATGACTGACGTAATAATTAATATTGACGTCAAAATTATATGTAGTTTAAAAAATAATAAAATTGCATAAATCAATCGATTCTTTTTTTTTAAAATAAAACTTTAAACCTCTTTACTTTTAAATTATTTTCAATGAGCTTAAAAATTTCGAACAAGTGCTACATAGAAATGTTTTTTAAACCTGCAAATGACAACAAGTATCAGTGCAATCTATGCCCTCCCGGATCACATCCATTAACCCAAAAAAGAGGAACGGGTTACACGAATTTAATGAATCATTTAGAGGCGAAGCATAATGATTTTAAATCAATTTACCAAGAGCGTATTGGAAATGTTACCTTTTTCACATCAGATTCTAGTATAGTTAACTATAGTGCAAGTGTATTTAATATTTATAACTGGGCTAGTCTTATTGTAAAGTGCTAACTACTTCTTAATGCTTGTGAGAATCCTAATTTCACTTTACATACAAGTCTTTCCAAATTGGATGTTGCTACAGTTGTTAAATATATTGATGGTTGGCAGATATCATACGAAATAGAGTAAAAAATATTTTGCCAGAAAAAATCAGGATCATGTTTGACGGATGGACAAACAACAGCATTCATTTTGTTGGGTTATTTGGTATTTAGCAAACAACTAATAAATTTAGAAATCTAGTTTTATTGGCATTTTCGTCATTTGAAGATCATACTACACAGGATGCAAATGCACATATTGAGTTCTTTAAAGATGTTTTAGACTCATATGATAAGGGTATGAATAATATTCTTTTTTTCTCAAGAGATAACTGTAGTACAAATAAAAAAATAGCCAATGATTTGAACATTCCACTTGTAGGATGTGTATCGCATCATCTAAATTTGGCAATCAATGATCTTATTAATTCTTCATCAACTCTTGTATGTCAAATTCATACAATTGTATTAATGATGTGAACTTATAAAAATTGTGGAAGACTTGTAAAGATAACATCCTTAAAACTGATATTGACAATACAATTCGTTAGATGAGCATCATGAAAATGATTGAATGATGTAAAGATCTTATTCCTCATATTACTCAAGTAAATGGATTTTCAGGTCATGATATTTTATTGGTGGAGCAATTGGATCTTAGTAAAGTTAATAATTTTATTGAACAACTCAAATACTTTTCTGAAGCAACAAATGATTTGCAGAATGAATCTATGAAATTAGATGATATTCATGCTTATTTTGATTTGTTGATAGAAGAATCTCTGGGTTTAGAAAACTGATTAGGAAAAGATGCATCTATAATCCATGATCCTGTTTTTAAAGAAGTTGTAATCAAGGTTTTAAGTAAACAAGAAGCCATACTAACACCAGATGAAAAACAAAAACTTCAACCATTTATCATTAAACTAAATGTAAAACAAATTGTAGTAGAAGGTAGTTTAACTATGAAAGAACAGGTTGCAAAAAAACACAAGCTAGAAGAATCGAAGTATATGAATATGAATATAATCCTTCCTACTTTTAATTCAATAGAACCTATGTTTTCATTTATTAACTATTATTATACAGACTGGTGAAAGTTACTTAATCCATTTACCTTAGAAAATCTTTTAATATTAAGGTTAAATGACAAACTGTGGTCTATTCAGAATGTTCACCAGATTCGACAATAGGTTTGTATATATACATACAATTATGGTATATACTGTATATAGTTAGGTTGATCACAATGGTCATATGCAGAGAGGGGCATGTAACAAATACACAACAAAAAAGAATATATATACATATTAATTTATATATAATAAAGTAAAATTTCAATTAATTTCAATTAATT